CCCAACCAATCTAGCCGCGTTCTCCCTATGGTTTCACATCTTCCCTAAGTGAGCGTCCCTATGGTTCCTCGAAGGAACCCGAAAAAGATTAGAAGTTTTAGGGTTTCCCGAAATCTTGACCTTGCATCCTTTTCCTTAGGATTTAACTTATAATTCCCTCCCTCGGTATATGACTCAACCACTAGGTCGATAGGACTTTCCCAAAGGTTGTAACGTTAGGGCAAAAGGTTAGCGGTAGGCTAAAATTTTAAAATTTGGTGGTTTCCCTAAAAGTGAAGCAAAAAACGGGCCCTTTCTTAGAATCACAATTAAGTAATCACCAAACAAAAACAAACTAACACCCCCAAGCTTATTCAAAGCTATATCCACAAATATATATATACAAAAAGCGTAAACGCTTCTCCCCCAAGCTAAAAGGAAGCATTGTCCTCAATGCGTGAAAAGGGAAAAGAAATTACATCAAAATCTTTTTGAGATTTTCTCATTTTCATTTTTTTTTTCTTCTTTTTTATGCTTCCATTACTTTCAAAGCAATTGTCCATGCCTCTTTAACTTTGGACGGATTTTTCAATTTTGCAACTGCATTGTCTTTGCCTTTTAGAAAGTTAGGACGACTTTTTCATTTATTAATTTGCCACTATTGACACATAAATCGCAATATAAGCTTGCTTTAAAGAGAACCAAGTACCCAATAATCCATACCACAAACTCCAACAATAAAGATCAATTGCTTCACAAAAATCAATAATGGAAACGAAAATGAAACAAAAGGCTCAAGAACTAATGATGTGGCTTGAAAAGAAGGGGAAAGACTCAAATGGTTAGCAAGAAGGCAAATGTAAACCCAAATGAACTAAAAATAAAGAAAATTAATCTAGAAAAGAAAAATTACCACCCCGAAAAGATGCCTTTGTCCTCCCTAGTTTGCTCGGTCTCGAGTTTGAGAATTATGAGTCAAGATTCCAGATTAGGTCCGCAATAGTCAAGGATCCATGCCACTCATAAAAATAGATGTTGAAGTCTTGAAAAATATTGAAACTCACATGGATGTGGCAAAAACTCACTAAGGGAATCAAATCAACCAAAGGAAGCAACTCCGTCTTACCACAAACCCAACGGAATCTGGCTTCAAGGCCCTAAAAGGTCTAAACCACTACCTTAGCATACCCTATTCTAGATTCAACCGCAAATATTCTCAAAACATGCATACCAAATAAACATAGGAAAGCATACATGCAAAGGCAAAATTCCGAACTGTAGAATGTCCAAAGAAAAGAACTAAACAAGCAAAGAGAACAAAAGTAGCCACAAAAATGTTTCATTTGTAAATGAAAGATAGAAAATAGCTAAAAATCAAAAAATAGAGTAAAAAGTACAAGAATGGAAGCAAAGACAAGTAATACCCAATTCTCAAGCAAGTGGTCATTTGGCAACAACGCCAATGACCCCAAACACGTTAGGTGTTACAAAGAAAACATCCTTGAACCTTTCAACTCATCCTAAAGCTAACCCTAAACTAAGCAACTAAGAAAGAAAGCGAAAAGATATAGAAAGATCTCACCAAGCGCCAAAGCTATGGTTACAAAATTGAGGTGAAAGAGCACCTTACGTACGTAACGTTGAAAATCCAAGCATAGACAATAAAGCAAAGTGAGAATAAAAGAACTATATATAAAGAAAAATTGTTAGTAATTTCTAAACAAACTCGAACAAAAGAAAAGGTAGAAAATAGAATAAAGAAAATAAAGAAAAATCAAATAGTAGGAGGAGAAGTATCCAATGAGATGTCAGACTGAAATAGTAGCAAAGAGCATGATAGCAGATAATCATCATCAAGAATCATAAATCAGAGATATAGAGAGAAGCATCAGACAGCGAACAATGAATCAAACAACAAATCCAAAGCATAGCATCATAATAAAACCAAAGGACTCAGAGATCGATACCAAAAGCAGATGAGACCAGGAATGAACTACAAAAGCAAGGGGTAAAAGCAACGAAATTCAACAAAAAAACGACATATAATACCCCCAAGCTTAAAATGGGCCACCCCCTAACTCTAAAACCTAAAGAAAAATAGGCAAAAGAGAAATATCGTACATATAAAGAACAAAAGAAAGGGGGGAAACAAGGTAAAATCATTCCGCACTATGGTAAGGGGTAGAATGAGAATTTCCCTCACCGGTCTCCATAAAATGACTAGAGATTTCCATCTCGCTCTCTTCCATGAGAGCCTTACCCCTCAACAGACTTTCCTTCCTAATTCTATCAAGCTCAAACTAATGGGACCAATCATCTAAGATCGGCTCACCTGACCTACCCCACCTACCAAAAGTCTCGGGGTCCGGAAAAGGCGAAGGATTAGCCGGATCATACGCATAATCATAACCCCCGGGACGCCTATAGTCGTAAGTGCCGGGGTAGTGCCTATGATATAACTAGGGTTAATATGGGGGCCCTCCCAATAAGGATAAAAAAGTCTAGGACCCACAGTAGGATCAAAGGGCTCCCATTGAGGGATAGGTCCTTGTTGGGCCGGGAAGTACGGATAGTTGACGTAAGGATCAATCCAACCCTTAGAAACATGCAAATCATGTAATCGATACGTATGGTAATCATAACCAAGGGAAGGGGGTTGCACAGAAGGCATGGAGTACACATGTTAGCAATAGAATCAAGCTTGGCATGAAATTTTGACATATCGAAAGTAGAAGGAGTGGGAGAGGGGGAGGGAATAGATGTACTCCCGGTTTAACCGGGGAAAGGGAATGAGAAATCGATGAGCATGCATTAGTTGAACGATCTCTTGTACAATTTGTCCTTCGTTGGATAGAGGGATGAATATCTTGCATCGGGGGCCTCCATGACTAAGAATTTCTCTCCTCAGGATGAGAATTTTCCTATTTTCAAGGGATGACAAACCATTACTTATACCGAGAGACCTTCCAAATAAAAACATTGTCCTTGTTCGATCAAGAAATTTTTGATTCACTAGTGCGGAGATGTTTAAGAAATGCGAGGGGGACTTTTCTCTAGGAACAATAATATGTGGAAGCTTGTCTAGTATAGCCTTGTAATTCTCATTGATGCAAAGTGCTAGTATAGAAATCATCCCACCCAATTGGATGCATCCCGAAAGGAAAACTCCATCATGAATATCAAAGAATTAAGAGATCAAACGCTCCGTGAAATCCACCGACTCAATCTCAAAGGCATTTTGGTCGGCTATCCACAACCAACAAAGCTCCTCACGGGAAATAGCTCCCAAAGAGTCCTTGGAGCAAAGGGCATAGGTGAGGATCCGGTTAAAATATCGCAAAGCCGGATGAATCATAGAAGCGAACTTTGAAGTTTGAGGGTCATACTTTCCTTTTTCCGAGATACTCCTCTACCAATGTTTCTCATCATATCCAAGCTCACTTGCTATTCTACCATGAGCCGGAGAAATACAATGATCCGGATCCTCTGCCCAAGGAAACTTGAAGTATGAACATAGTTGATCATCCGTCAAAGAGTGATCATTGTTGAAGAGTTGGAAAGTCAAAATCTTTAAGTAATTTGCACCCGATTTATGAGCAACCTTGAGAGAATAAAGGAATTCATAAGTCACCCTATCATAGGTAGGGGCATTTAAATCCAAGAAATCCAAAAGATCAAGGCCTTCCGCAAGGAGACGAACATCCTCATCAATCCCTAGAAACTTTGTTGTCGTTTGATCATAGAAACACGTTGGCCTAAGCTTTCTCTTTGAAAGACGTTTGAAGCACTCCTATTGAGATTCCTTTGAAAACTCAATGCCATAAGTTTCCTCAACCTCCGGTGGAGGCGGAACAATATACTTCGTCTTGCTTGAACTAGCTCTAGCACGCTTCTTATGACGAAGTGTGGCCATCTACAAAGTATCAAGACTAAGCATAAGTAGTTGTTCAACAACAAGCACAAAATGGAAATATTTCGCAATAGAAGCAAGAAATGGTAACAAATGAACAATGCCATTGATAACATCATGAATATTAACCAAACAATCATGGATTGAAAGCGAAATTGAATATAAGAAACCAATTCATGAGTCAATTTGAAAAATAAATCCTAATCATTGAATTATCAAAGATAAGAAACTAATATAAAGAAAACCCAAGAGAGAGAAAATAGCCAACAATTATTATTGAAGAATTCAATCAAATTTCATACATTTATCATGAGGAAGCTTCAATTAAACATCCAACGATATCATTCAAAATAAATTCCAAGTGAAAAGTAGTAACCATAGAATTTCACCATGAAAGCATAAAGGTTCAAGCTTTAAATCAAAAAGAAAGATGATGAATAGACAATAAGAAACCATACCTCAATGAAGCCTTGAAATGCTTGTAATGCTCAAAATGGAGATGTAAGAAAAAATAAGATTACCAAAAACAAACTCCTAACCTCAACACAAAATTTCAAAATTTTAAAAAAGACCCAATTTTTTTCTTGCTTGAATTGGGGAAAGAAATCTGAAAATTTTATTTTGTGTTGAAGATTTGAAAAACTTGATTTTGGCAATTGAAATTGATGTTGAAATGATAGAAAAAGAGGTGAAGTAGGCTTGGTATTGCAAGAGAGGGTATGGGGTTTTAGGAGGGAAAAATGAAAGAAATGAAAGAGAAGGTGTGTTTGGGGTTATAGGGGCTGACAACAGGTGCCGTGCCCTCTCCTGATAATGCCCGCGGCCGCGGGTAGCCCACAGTTAGCCCTCTAGTGGAAAAAATCTCATTCGTAACAGGCTATTTGTAACGGACAAAGCTTTGCCCATTACAATTAAGATATTCGTAATGGGAAAAATAGTGTCCGTTACGAATACTTATTTATTCGTAACGGGAAAAATAATGTCCATTACGAATAATATGTATTTGTAACGGACAAATCAGTTCCCATTACGAATAAATAAGTATTCGTAACGGACACTATTTTGCCCGTTACGAATACTATATTACACGTAACAGGCGTATTGTGTCCGATACAAAGGCCCAAACTTGGCTTAACTGATGAGAGGAGCCCAGTACTTGGCATTTTAGAGTTTCACAGCCGTCATTCACCTCTCTCTCTCTCTCATCAGTCCCTCACTGTGTCTCTCTCTCCTCTCCTCTCCTCTCCTCTCCTCTCCTCCCCGTCATTCACCTCTTTCTCTCATTTCAAACTCAGGCCCTCTCTCCTCTCCTCCATCAATCTTCCCCTTAACAACAAGTGAAGATATCTAAACCTAACCACTAAAGAAAAATTCTTAGATAATTTAGGATATCTTTGTCGTAAACTTCAACCATTTTAGATCATGAGGTAAGAAGTCCTTCAATTGTTTTTTCCTCTTCTTGAATTTATTTCTGGGCATCTAATTGTTTAAATTCTTGAATTTGTTCTTGTGAATTCTAATTTGCTTTATTTTTTTCTACATGCATTTTGTATTTGATGCATTTTTGGCATTTATATGGTTCAATTATCCTTTGTACGTCTAAACGAATAATAAATCTAAAAAATATATATGTTCTTCAGTAATACATGCAAATAGTAGTGAATTTAGTTCATCTTTGTCGATTAATACCTGATTGCCGAATTTTTTGTAATTTTTTTGGCTTATAGAGAGAATTAAGAAACCTGATATGGCAAGCTGATTAATTCTAGGGTTCTTTGAGATCTTTCCCGAAATTGATCAATTTATCCCCAATTCGTTCATTTTAATGGTAAATTATGGGTTGTTGGTATATAATCTCTGTTAATCTGTTTATTGAAGTGAGAATTTGGGTATTGGTTGTTGATTCTCTTTGCAACAATCTTTCTTTCTGCATTCTTTGGTGTTTTAATCTACAATTGGTGAATGTTGGTGATTTTTAGTTGATGTTTTCTACCTGATAAGGTTGCATGCGCTCAGAAATTTTTGTATACTGCAGGGCCTCTTCATGTTAGGTTTTGTTTTACGCAACCTCTACAATGCTGGCATTCTTACTAATTTCGAAGTACTTGATTTATTACATACGAGAGGGGCTGCCAAGGAACCTACCCGGGCCATGGGTTTGTTAAAATCGTCTGAATTCAAGGTTGATACTTTAGCTTTGTTCGTTTCCTTTTTTTGTAAGCTGAATGCCTTGTTTTTGATTTCGTGATTTGCAGACAATTATACCTAAAGTTGATGTTTGTTTTTACAATTTGTAATTAGGTTTATGATTATTTGGTTGAGAGTGCTGCTTGTGATCAGACTAGAGAAAGTATCAATGATCTTATATAGAAATTTAACGAGTATCAGCTACATAAAGCTGAGTTGATAAACATCATTAATAATCGCCCCTCTTCTGCAGTCGAATTGGCTTCGGTACTATTCTGTTGAACATCTTTTCTTAATTTTGTGTTTAAATCTTCTACATTCTATCATTGTAATTGTTTTTGCATAAATCTTCCATGTCCTTTGCTAGGTTAGTACTCTGTTAATGAGTGTTTGCAATTGGTGAATGTTGGTAATTTTTAGTTGATATTTTCTACCTGATAAGGTTGCATGCGCTCAGAAATTTTTGTATATTGCAATGGCCTCTTCATGTTAGGTTTTGTTTTACGTAACCTTGCCACCAATAGGAAGTGTATCTTGTAGTAAATGTACATAATCTAATAAATGCTTAGATTTAGGATAGAATCATTAGCAAGTATGGAGTATAAGATACTGAAATGTAAGCTCAACCTAGATGCGTCTTAGGATAGACCTCAAACAAAATGATGTTTAATTTTCCTATAGTCTACTGCTAATATTCACATGCACTGCAAACTTTGACTCGTTCCCATTCAGATGAACTGTTGATGAATTGAAGGAAGATTATAAAGGTCCCTAATGGAAGATATTTATATTTCACTGAATGTACCCATAACAATAATTTCGATCTCTTTTCAAATTTAACTTAGAGAAATTACTGAATGTGCGTGGAATAGTAATTTCTCTTTTAAAATGAGCTGTTAATGAATGAGGGAAGACTAATTTATGAGGTTGTGGCATTTGTATGTCCTTTGATGATTTATGCTTTCAAACCTGGGTCTCATGTTGTTCCTTCCTCCGAGGAGGTTGGACTTTGATGGAAGAGGAAATGAGGAAGTCGGTAAAATCAATGCAGACTCTGAGGACCTGTCTTTGATCAGAAAACAGCTTCTTCAGATAGAGAGACAGCAATCTGATATGATGGTTCTCATCCAGTTTAGTTGCATACTCTTTCTTTATTCCATTGTTAATAAGAACTGGCTTCTTTTATCTTTTTGTGTTGATTTACACCCGAAAAACAAACAACTATAATAATATGAGTGAGAGTAGTGAAAAAAGATCATTGTAGTTTCTGCATTTTTAATTTAAAGATTGATAACTGACATCAACCTTTTGCTTTGCAATATTTAGAGATTTATGGGTAAATCTCAAAGTGGGATTGACTCTTTGGAGAATAGAGTTTCTGGCATCGAGAGAGCATTGAATGAGATCTCACATGATTTAGCTGTGCAAAGCGGAAGAATTGCCAACAATGACTTAGAAGGAAGCACTTGCTGTCCTAGTACAGAATTCCCGAGTCCGAAATTCTGGAGAAGAACAAAAGGAAGGTCGTCCTCAATTCCAAAGTCATCTTATGCAGGATGTATGTATAGTCGTCCATGGCAAATAGAAAATATGAGTATGTTAAGTCCTTTGAAGTACAAAATTATACTGCCCACTCTGATGGTTGTTGTCATTGATGGCTGGAATATTTGAAGGTTCTTTGAAGCTCATAAATTTGAGAAGCCTCGTGATAGAAAAGCCTTGGAGTTGATGAGTTCTTATGCAAATGCTGTCATGGAGGAATACGCTGACATAATATTTTCATATGGATATAGCGATGAATTTAGTTTTGTATTAAAAAAGGAGTCCAAATTTTACTAGAGACGTGAAAGGTTTGTGGATGAATCTACATTCAGATGTTAGTACCTGGGATTCACAAATTTTCTTGTTGACATACTGATGTTTTAATTGTTGTTTCATATTGCTTTATTTTCCCCTTTTATTATGAATTACTGAGCCCAGTTTAGTTTTAGTTATTAGGCGATAATAAATGTATTTTTTTTTGTGATTGAATAAATATAAAATTCTTTGTTTTATCTCAATTAATTTATAAAATAACTGTGCTATAATTTATATGCAAGCTAGCTAATCCAGTACAACATGTGCTGGATTTTTTTTTAAAAATTGGGGTACACACTATTTGTAACGGGCAGTTGTAGGGAATATTTCGAGCATTACCCCTAGCTCGAACCCCACTGTGATCATACACTAAAGTACGGTGGCGTCCAAAGGGAAAGAATATAGAGCAAAAGATTCGCCATCAAGTTTTAGGAACTTTTAAACCAATCACGAGCTGAAGGTTACACCCTTAACGATCCAGGAGATCGTCAACTCCAATAGGTCTGGAACCATGGCTAGAAGTTTGGGGATGAAGGTACAAATCCAACCTAAAAGAGATTGAACCTGCCCTAATAATAGGCCTCTACTTTATTCTGATCGTATTCATGTGCGCTTTCTTACTAACATGTAATCAATAGGATTAACCCTAAACCTGTTTAATCGATGTTGGTTGCATTTTAATGCACAAATAAAACTATTATTGGCGATCACTTGAATTATAATCACAGTAACCCTAAACAAGATTATTAATTATCTTATTAAGCATGATTACAAGTACAATTCCCTTTAAACATGCATACAAAAGCCGTGATCAAGCAATAACAATAAAATATAATCAATCAACATAATATTAAATAATAATAATAATCATCGTAATAATAAAAATTAAAATAATCATGTTATAGCATAGTATTAATAGCAAGATCCTAGGCATGATACGAACAAGATTAATAACAAACCCTAGCATGTCACTAAACAATAAAGATTAAAGTTTTAGCCCTAACATGATACTAACATAAATATTAGGAAAGAATATAGGAAGCATCATACTTGTAATCATACTTGATATTAGGAATTTTTAGTTGTTACCCTAAACATGATACTAGGAAGATCAAAACACCCTAACATGACGCTAGGAATCATAATAACGACCTAAGCATGATTTCTACATCATAATATCAATAAAAACCATTCAAGCACTTACTTGGATGCCTCGTATCTCTTTCTAATAACAAAATACATGCGTTAGTAAATTCAAGGAAAATAATAAACAAAACAATTAAATTAAATAATTGAAAGAGAGATTTGGGACCCAACCCTCAGAAGATAAAACCTTTCATTTCTAGGGCGAAGGCAACTTCGAACAATGCTTGGTGTTTCTAGATCTTGTGAATGCGGAATTTTGAATGCAAAAGGGTTGGTTTAGAAAAAAAAAAAGAGAAAGAAAGCTTTTTCGGGAGAGAAGAGAATTAGAGAATTCTTGAGAATTTATGATATTTTGTTCATGAAAAACGGAGTTTTTAGGAGCTTATTTATAGAGAAAATCAGCCAAAAAGATAGAAAAACAAATCAGATTTTCGACGTGAAAAACGAAGTTAGCGCCAGAGCTGACATTAGCGCCAGACGCTAACGCTAGCGCAAGGCGCTAGGCTTAGCGCCAGACGCTAATGTCTCGCGTTAGGCGCTAATCAATTTTTTTATGCGTTTTCTAAATTCAAATAAAATTTAAGCGTACAGGAGGATAAAATTGTATTTTCCTCAAAAACACTCTTTTATTCTGATTAAAATTCCAAAAAGTCAACATAAGTCAATTTATCAATGCTAATTGAATTAGGAATGAAAACAACCTTCTAGAAGAATCTAGAAGAATAAAACCATTCCTAATTGCATTAGGAATGATAAATCCATATTAAGCCCTCCTCTACATCATTGGGCCGCATATAAGGCTCAAATCAGGCCTAGTTTAGTAATTTGGCCATAACTCCCTCATTATTCATCGGAATTGGGCTTATAATATATCATTGGAAAGCTCTTTTCAAACCCCGTCCAACTACACCATTATTGGACTCTTTCTATGAACCAAAAAAACTTGATTTGCTGTTGTCTTAAAATAGGTTTTCAATAACATAGAGAAAAGAAAAGAAATTAAACTATCCGCAACACTAGACTTTCCACACTTTCACTTTATTCGATTATGATTCTATGTGAAAGGTACTCGTAACTGGGTTTGGTTTTGGGGAGACACAAATGGGTGTCTACAGAAGCCCCCACTTTGATTGAGTTTAGAGAAACGCAAGTTTCGAAAACAAAAGTCAAAGTATCGATAGGGATGGAGAATGATTCAGAACGTTTTGCGATCCTAAACCACTCCTGTAACGCCGATACTTGCAAACTAGTGTTAGTTAAACAGATAAAAGAGTTAAGAAACGCGTATCTTGCACCATCGAGCACACGTCTCTGTAGTAACCGATTTGCTGCATTTCTGTATTTTTGACAACCTCCTGCAAGCTAGAGAATACCGCCTGAAGACTGCTACGCTTGTAACTGTCTCCAATTCCGCTATGATAGACTTCTGCAAGCTAGAGAACCCCATCAAAGATTGCTTCGCTTGAAACCAACTTCTAGCATTTTGTGACCGTCTTCCACAAGCCAGGGAACACGATCGAAGACAACTTCGCTTGAAAATCACCTCCTGTTGTTTGTGACAACTCTTCACAAGCTAAAGAACGCTGCAAAATATATCCTTGCTTGAAGCTACCCTCATTTGTTGCGATAATATTCCAAGGAAAATTATCGAAGACCCACGCTTATCGATCTTTAAAAGCTCGCTTGAACTTTGCTTCCGTTATGCCAGTATGTCGGCACTTCTGCTGCTTTTGAACCTGTATGTCGGTGCCTTTCGCTGAATGAACTAGTATGTCGGTGCCTTGCTACATGAACCATTATGTCGATGCCTTGATACATGAACCATTATGTCGATGCATTGCAATCAGCCAATGCTTTGGCGCTTTGAGCTAAGTGAGACGGTCATTCATCAGGTCGATCACCTTATGTAATTGTAATCAAGACGATTACTAAAATCATGTCAAATTGCTTAGAGGGGCTAACCGGCGTACCAAGGAACCCAAAATTTATTGTAAGAGGTTGGAATAAAGGCACTGAGTGGTTGGACAGTCTATCGCCATCGAAATATCGCCAGCGCCGCATATTTGGTTGTAGCGCCAGGCGCTAAGCCTTATCAAATGGCGCTAAGGTCTGTCGCTTGGCGCTAGGGTCGGGTTTTCCATAAATACCCTTCTCTTCTTCATTTTCGCTGTTGCTGCTCGTATTTTCACTCGAGAATCACTCAAAACTTCATTTGGCTCGTTCTTGCTCGTTTCTCAACCGAATTCTCTCAAATTTGTTGCAAATAAAATATTATTCATTCCATTTTCCCGATCTATGTAAGTTTATTTTTCAAACTCAACCTGATTTTAATGAATTTCGCACATATTTGTTCACGAATTTCTTGAAAATTCAAAACTTAAATTGTTTAATTCTCTTTGTTTGTCAAATTTTATGCAATGAAATTACTTGATTATGTTTATATATTGCCTTGGGAGTAATTTGAGAATTTTTTGACTCAATTTGGTGAAGAAACGAACAAATCACCATTGTTGAACCTCTTAAGGTCGGGAAGACAATGTGGCTTGTTCTTGACGTTTTTGCTAGCAATTCTTGTTCAATTTGTCACAATAATTACTATAGTATTGCAAGAAATTGTTTGAATGCTTGAAAAATGTCGTATATGCTCAATTTGAACTTGTACTCTGTTTAAGTAATACGTACTCTTTTTTTTTTTTTTTTTTTTTTTTTTTTTTTTTTTTTGCGAACATAGTATCATGCGGCTAGGCGAACCTTAGATACTATAGAACCTTTATTTATAATAATTTTGCACAATGTAGCATGGTTAGACAGTGAGGTTGCGACACCTTGGGCGACCTGTACAAGATGTACATTACCAATGACGGAGAGGCGAGACTTCTATGGGAGTCTTGCCGATTGGCTGCGCTTTACGAGACCTCAGAGGCTATGATTGCCTCTAGAGGGGGTCACCATGTGGTTCGTTCTCTAGTGGAGTTCTTTTGGCACACCACCAACACTTTCCACTTTCCTTGGGGTGAGATGATGGTCACCCCTACCGACTTCAGTCTCATTACGGGACTGGAGTTTAGCTCTGTTGCGCTGCCGTTTGACAATGAGATCAGCGTCTCTTCTCCCGAAGTCGAGGAGCTCTTGGGTCCGATTGTTGTTCGGGCTCGTGCTGATGTAGAGTCGACCCAATTCATTGCGAAGGGGATTCCCCGTTCGACTCTAGCAGCGGCTTTTGATGACGATGCGACCATCCGAGAGCAGCGTGTGTGCATCTTTGTACTTATCTTGCTGTCAGGGACGTTTTCCCCTGACAAGGGTAGTAGAGTGCTGCTTTACTACCGGCCTGCAGTCCGTGATCTACACTTGATCGGGGCTTATGATTGGGCCAGCTTGGCCTATGCTGACTTCATCCGAGCGTTACGAGACTCGTGTCGACACCGGTCCTTCACGAGGAACGTCGCTCTATCCGGCTTTTGGAGGGTCATAGAGGTATACTTTATCTCCCATTAAGTTTAGCTCTAGGCTTTGATTAGCACTTGCTGATAATTTTTGCCTTTGTAGATATGGTTCTACGAGTACTTTCCATCGGTTGCGCCGGCAAGACCATCGCCATACAGGTTTCCAGTGAGTGCTTCCTGCGGAAGCCGCCGTGCTGGGATGTCCACTGCTTACATCCGAAATTAAATCATCTCGGATGGTTCTTTATATATTTGGGTACTTTGCATTACCTTCGATAGATTCTTATCTGATAGGCGTTCTTTGTAGGAGTCTGACGTGCTGTACCGGCCGTGGGTTGGCTTGGTTGTCCCTGGGCTAGCTACGCAGTATACTGCTGAGCGTCACTATTTCTTGGGGACATATGGAGAGATCGCGTATCTTGGAGAGAGGGTTTCTATTCAGCATTCCTCGGATACCTTTGTCGTTCCTGCTTCTCCACCGCGTCACATGTTCGATGCCGCAAGGTTGGTGAGCATAT